AACATACAGCACATATTTAACAGTATGTTTAACAGTAACATACTGTATGTTTAACAGTGTTTAACAGTAAAACAGTATGTTTAACATATATAACAGTATGTTTAACAGTAAATAAGGTCCCTCTATTGTTTTCATAGCTAACTAACCAACTATGAACACTTGAGAACTTTTCTGAGGAAAATGCTATATTAAGTGACAATGTTCACAAGCTGTTTTATTTGACGTCTTTTTTTTTTGGTTGAAACGCTGACTGAATGACTACATGAGACATGATAGATTTCAGTAAGTTGTACCAGAGATTGTCTTATTATTATTAAAGTATTATTTGAAAAAGCGTAATGGCTAACTTGGATCACGTGAGTCACCTCAGCCAGTCATACAATGGCAGTGACATCAGTGGCCGGCTTTGACAGATCTACGACTGTCATTTGCAGTTTGCGTTGCAAAGCAAAAAACAGCGCAAATTGCCGGTCACTTACTGGTCACTGCAATTAAAGATAGGTTTTATTCTGTTCATTTAAAAAAAACAGCATGATTGGTCATATATAACACTCATACTAGTCACTAAAAATTGTATTTATTTGCTGAAATTTGGAAGCCATAGAAATAATAATTCTTTATTTATTTATATATTTTTTTACCTTTATTCATTAGAAAGCATTGTATCATCATCATACGGAGCAGTCACATGTCACATTTCAAGTCTATTTATTGAAACTCTGAAGCCTTAGGCTACGTCCACACGAAGCCAGAGCTTTCCCTATCCAATCTTTTTTCCCCTCGTCTCAAGAAATATCTGCGTCCACACGAAACCACTAAATCGACACAAAACAATGTAGTATGCATGCTAGACCAGCATGTGGCGCTGTAATTCTGCCATAGAGATACACTAAAAACGGACAAGAAGACTTGGACTATGCGCATAAACCTTGCGCGCGATATACAAACAAACATGGAACAATACATTTATTAATCTGTGTTAATGTTAGTTAATAAAAAGACAATCGTTCAATGTTTGTTCAGTGTTTTTGTTGCTGTTACGTGACGTAGTGGTGTCTGACTAGCGGCGAGATGTGGGTTGATGACGTCATTGTTTCAGAAAATATACGGATTCGCTGTCCACAGGAAAACGCAAGGGTGGCATTTTCAGATTTATCCACTCTGGGACCCGGTTTCAAAAAATATCGGTTTTCACTCTCCCAAAACGCTGGATCCGTCTGGACGAAACGCCTATACGATACAAAATGTATGCGTAGCTAAACGTGTCTCCGTGTGGATGGGGCCTTAGAAAGAACACATTTTAATTTCATTAAACAACATACAAAATAATCCAATAATTAAAATAATTCATAAAAATTCATGTCATTTATTCATTCAAATGCATTACAATTCAAGTCTAATTTCAGGCAAAACCTGGAAAACAAAGAAAGAAAACGTCTATATTTTTAAACAATAAACTAATTTTATTAAATTGTAATGCGACTCACATTTGCTGGTAATAATGCGGTAAATGAGTCCTACCTGTCGCGACATTCCCTACTCTTTGAAAAAAATTTTTTTTTTTTAGAAGTAACAAAGCACAAAGCTCTTTGTGATTATTGGAGGCACATTACAAATAATGTTTTTGTGAAGGGAAAGCTACGGACCTGGCAACCTTGGCTTGAAATACAGGTGGTTCACGGGTGGAAAAAGGTTCTTTAGTTTATTAATTCTTTCCCTGCCATTGATAGAACTTTCCATCATTTATGAGATAAAGCTTCCCCACCATTGACAAAATTTTCTGGCTTGCTGTGTTTTCACTGTTATACGGTAGTAGGCACTATTTCACATCTTCTGAAAGAGTACTGAATCTCTGAATCAAACCCGGTGAAGAAGTAGCAGAAAAAAAAATTTGTTGCATATGTGAGCAGATGCATATGTAAAATAATGCAATCATCAAACAATAAACACCATAAAGACAAAAATGTTACCAAATAAAATGTCAACCCAGGAAGTGGCTTTGGGGTGTTTAAGCTTTGGAGGTGTTGATGGAAGCGATCTACTCCATCTATGGTTTGATCATCATCATTGACAGAAACACGATTGTTTTTTTGTTGTTGTTTGTTTGTTTTTTGCAAAATGTTACATTATGAAATTTCAGTTCAAGTTTAAAAAATGCATGAAGGTCATTTATTTACAAACCCAATTCCAAAAAAGTTGGGGCACTGTACAAATTGTGAGTAAAAAAGGAATGGAATAATTTACAAATCTCATAAACTTATATTTTATTCAAAATAGAATATAGATAACATATCAAATGTTGAAAGTGAGACATTTTGAAATGTTATGCCAAATATTGGCTCATTTTGGATTTCATGAGAGCTACACATTCCAAAAAAGTTGGGACAGTTAGCAATAAGAGGCCGGAAAAGTTAAATGTACATATAAGGAACAGCTGGAGGACCAATTTGCAACTTATTAAGTCAATTGGCAACATGATTGGGTATAAAAAGAGCCTCTCAGAGTGGCAGTGTCTCTCAGAAGTCAAGACTCCCTTTTGGAAGCTTTATTTGTACCTTAAAAGAAAGTTTCTTCCCTTCTTCTCAGCTTTACCTTTGAAAAATCTGGCACTTCCAAAAACAAATACTCTTTGGTTTGCCATAACACCTAAAAATACCACAAGCTAATAGTGTAGAGTGCGACAAAAACAATGAGTCAGGGACATGCTTTGGGAAGCAGGACAATGGGTTTTTCAGCCTGTGTGTCCTCAACTGTACGTAAGTGCACAATAAACATAAAAGTCTCTTAACAACAGGCCTCTTTCAACTGCTTTCAAATGCTTTGAGATGGTGACCCTCTATGAAAACGGCCACATTATGTTCTCACTCAAGTAATTACAATGAATAACAAAAAGCGTAAGCAATATACGCATGGTGAAGTATCATGTGTCAATTATGTTGAGCACACTGAATGCGTTTCAAATACTAGCGTCATCGGGAATAACACAAAATGATGCAACACAATGTGAGGTTTTTTGAGTGAATGGTGTAATTCAATAGTCCAGGCTTTTCAAACTCCTGGAAATTTGTTTATCATTGATCTATCCCCCACCTTCCCTGCTGTGATCCAGATTTATTTATTGATTCGGATGCAGGGTGCGCAGTCTAGCAGCACTGTATTCTTTTACTCCAGTCATTAGACATCGATCTGGCCAAACTTTTCATTTTCCAGTCAGATGAATTCAGTGGGGCGGAGCGCCGCCTTTCATCCCCGGAGTCGCAAAGGAGCTCTAATTTTCAGAGACATGCTGCAACAAGCTGTGCGTTTAGATGCAATTAAACGATTCAGCCTTCATAATCTCAAAATCGATAAGTCATATACTGCAAACCAAGTGTTGACTCCCTATTTTGGATTGAATATTAGGGTGAAAAACTCAAATGAATATCTTGAAACTGTCATTAACATTACAACTTGTGACATGCATCTGTCAACACTTTGTTCAGTCTGTCAGAATACTGCTGCATATTCAGTTTTCTAAATGTTTCTGTACAGCAACTGCTACAGCTTTCAAAGCTTTTTTTCTATATATATTGAGGGGAGAAATCAGTCAACTATCTGTTTTTGTAAAGGGAAACTCTGCAGTCATCCTACAAGATATTGAATTCACAAGACAGCGCTAACACGCGCAACACAGTCACGCAAAGCCTCTCCTCTTGACAGATGGGTGAAAAATTAAGGTTGGCGAGTTGAACAGGGTGTACAAATACTCTGTAAGCAAACCCTTTGACAAGATGTCCACAATGAAAAGGAGCTAGAATGTCACATTTCTGTGCCGCTTAATGTGCTTAGCGTCTCTGCCTGATACTTTGCTTTTATTCTTAAACAGTCTATTGATTCAAAACCCCATCAATTTCATTTCATTAAAAAAAAAAATCCCTTTATTCATAAATCATGAATTAGCATTAACTTCGTTCTGCGTCACGGTGACTGTGACTTTGTTATACGACAAATAATAATAGAACTTTTAAAACTATATACTGAAAATTAAGCAATTAAGCAAGCAACAGGAAATACCACGCTGAAACAGATTGTTGCAATCCCTGTGGTTGCATTGTTTCAATTTCTTCTGCCTCATGATCTGACTCTGGCTCAAACATAAATGGCTCGATCACAGAGCTTGCCATCTTGAGTATCAAAACACATGACATGCTGTAAAGGAGGGCGTGGATAGAGTGCAATGAAGTTGCCAATCACAGCAGTGGGTGTTTACTTCCGTTTCTGCAAGAGGTAGCACCCCTTGAAATTGAGTGTTTTTCACAGAAAGTGAAAATGAGGATGGAAAATTATATATTTTTTTACAAATATTGGGGATTTTTGGTGCAAAAATGTTAAAAAGTTTTTTTTTTCATAACTAATTAATTAGATTTAACGTGTTAGATTAAAAACTCTCTAATATGTGTGTGTGTCTGTGAATATTTTGCAATACATGTAAAATATATTGAATCTATAGATATATTTGACAATGTTAAATGGATAGTTTTATATTTTGCCATATATATATTTATTTATTTATTTTTTGATTAGGGTATTCACAATGCTTTATGAGACATTTTTGTACTGCCTGTGCTTTTTTGGACTGATTTTTTATTCAAAAAAAAGTTTGTAATGTTAGTTGGTTGTCTTGGTTCATGGCTTATAATTCTTTAACAAACTTCCAGAAGCAACGCCGCTATACAAATTTACTCTATGTACCCCAATGTACTCTATTGGCAAAAACATGTCACCATGTTATGATATAGAAAATATGTGAGTATGAGGTGTTTAATACGGTGGCCCAGTAGTGCACAAAACAACGCAATTAAAAAAGCAAACATTAGCTCACAACACAACGCAATTAAAAAAGCAAACATAAACTCGCAACACAACGAAATAAAAAAAGCAAACATAAGCTCACAACACATCGCAACGGAAATGTTCCCGACCACTAGGGGGCAGTGTTGACAGTTAAACACCGATATTTCCTCGAGACGCCACAAGAAATTCTCAATGTAAGTGATTGATCCAAAGACTATAGAATACCCAAGACGTGTCACTCGTATAGTTTTGAATGGAGAAAAATGCAACACTCAATATGGCCGCTCAATCGCATGAAGCCCCGCCTTCTGAATGAAAGAGCCAATCGCTAATCGGTAAAGTCAGCGGCACTGCAGCTGCCGTTAGAAGCGTCCCGGTTGCTATAGAAACAGTCAGCGTTCTGAGACGTGCTCTTATATCTGCGCATGCGTACTGGCTGGTCTAGTCTGAAAAATACGCTTTTTATAACGCTATTTGAGCAAAAGTAACAACATTTATGACACAGTTGTTGTCAGATTTCTTTGGTGATTTCAAATATGAAATTTAATCTTAAACTTAGTGAACAGTTTTGGAGAATTTGATGTTTCCCCATTCAAAAAGATAGGAGTTGCACTTGCATGCCCAAGAGGTGTTTCAAAGATGGCCGCCAAGTGACATGACTTTGATTGATCTTAATATGTGTAATCGATTTGTAAATGAAAAACGTGTTTTTACTGAATGTTTTGATATCCTGGTAATCTTATTGGATCTATTCATGAATAAAGCAGAAAATAAATCAATATTATTTTCGATTTGGACAGTTTAGCTCTGCTCTTGCGCACAGTGGACTCTATGCATGGTCACTTCCGCGTTTTTCCTCAGGGGGCTTACTTAAATCCGGTGCTGTGCCGAAAGCCATTGTTCCTTACGTAGAGCTTTCAAAATGACAAGAGGAGAAGATGATTTTTCAGCTTACAAGAACTTCCCCGGATTACTGTAAATTAATTTCATCACACGGAGAAGGGCATTAAACGTTTCAAGTTACATCGACAACTTTAGGGTGAGTATTGTTCTATCATCTTCTAGCAAATCTTGCCAATAAGGCTGGATAACGCTGCATGACTTCTGTGCCGATTTGATCAGCACTTAAAGGGTCATGAAACCCCAGACTACTTTTTCTGAGATTTTAGCAGAGATGTTTGTGTTGCACATCATAGAAGACAATGTTAGCATCCGATAATTTTAACTGTTGAAGAAAACTGGTTAATTTTAAGCTTTTTTGCGCTATAACTCTTTACAGTGTATTGGCATGTTTGTAACATTAATTCTTCATAATTTATTTTAAATATAGTTTAATTTACAATGTAACAATTTAAAATACAATTGAAAGTAATTCAAAATGTATCTGAAATCAATTCAATATGTAACCCAATGTAATTATCTTCACAGATTGTTTTAAAGGACTCCCATCCATACTGTTGCAGCACTGTACCAGACAGCACACTATTCAGAACTGAGAAAGAGTGCGGTTGCACTGAATGGAGCAGAACTGGCACAAACCTAGAACAATGGTAAGTAAGATAATTATCAAATTCTTTAATGAATTACATAATTAATAAACTTTGATTAATAATATTAACATGCCCCATTGGTATGCCTAGAGAGTCAAGCCAGGTCCTGTCAGTGGGACGGTGGACCTGTTTGCAAGAGAGGAAACTCGCTGAGTGGTTAATATTATTAATCAAACTTCTTTCCTCGTTTTAGCTGTCCTCGCTCTGGTCACACAAACCATGTGGAATGCAGGTTCAATAAATCTTCAAAAGGCCATTAAATGGTCAAATCTAGATTGGATGAGACATGTTTTCAGAAAATACACACCTTAATAGCAATGCAAGTTAGTTTGCCTACACTGAATCTGAAGGTTACTTTAAAAATGTATAATGTATTGACATGCAAGTACTCTTATGAAAAAAATTATTTTAGCTTGGGTTTTAGCTTATTCTCCCTCGTATCATTCTAAACCATTATGAATTTCTTCTGTGGGGGAACAAATATCTAAATAGCTGACTGACACTAACATTAGTTACAACATTTATGTATGGCAATGAAGAAAGCAAGTCATATGGGTTTACAACTACATAAAGGTGAGTATATGATGACAGCTTTATTTTTTCTTTTTGGGTGAATCATCTATTAACTCGTTAACACATATTGCCCAGACCCACAGAAGTGGTTTTTAAACAAAAAGGCAACCACAGCGACAAAAAAAAATTTCACAACAGACCTACATTGTGCATGGTTATTATTAGTAACGTAAATAAGAGTTTAGATCTTACCTAGTGTAGAACCGTATGTTGTTGTCATTCTTGAAGTGGTGCCTGCAGACTGTAGTATCAGAAGTGATGTTAAAATCATTATATCTACTACTCTGAATCCACTTATTGCGAGTTTCTTCATCCAGGGTAAAAGTGTGAAAAACCTTTGAGAAGCCTCACAAAACGGGACACAGCAATAGCGGGGCAAGCCATGGATGTTTAAACTTTATGGAACTCTTCATTAAATAATTATATTACTGTGGTATACTTAATTTGTTATACTATAGCAATAAAATGTATAAATATTATTTTATATTAATTGCTCACTGACAAAAGATTGCGGCTGGTAATGCACTCACGCTATGGCTGAATACAGACCGGAACCTTTTAATGCGCTCTGAGATTTCACCGGAAATACGTAGGCTGCGTGCCGTGTACATTGCCCGTTTCTGCAGACCAACAGCCCCCTAGTGGTCGGGAGCATTTCCGTTGTGTTGTGGCTCAATGTCGTTGTGTTGTGAGTTTATGATTGCTTTTTTAATTGCGTTGTGTTGTCAGCTTATGTTGTGCACTACTGGGTCACCATAGTTTAATCCCATATTTGAGCTTTAATCAGAAAGTGTTTACAGGAAATTCAGTAAAAGACATATTACAATTTTTACAATGGTGACCTTGTGTCATTCATCTCACATGATTGGTTAGAAAAACGCTTGTGATCTTGCTGTAGTGGTAGAGCATAATCTTACTTAACCTTGATTACAGACCAGTGGTATTACTATAGCGCAGTTTTATTTCAAAGTACTTCTAGTTTCAAAGTCTAAAGGCTACAGCCAATATTCTGTAGCATGCGTATTGATTTTGTGCCAGTGCGGAGTTTGATTTTCACTCTTTGTGAATCACTATCATGAGTAAAGCAGAAGAGCCAAAAGTGTACCAATGAAGAAGCCTTTATCAGTAGGGTAAGTCTGCATGAATTTAACATATCCGAATGTCTTTGTCATTGTCTTTCAGTACATGTTGTGTATAAGTCATATGTAGCATCATTCATAATGCCGATGCCGTGTCTGAGAATGTACTAACATTCACACCTAAATGATTTATTATGGTTTCTGTTTGTAGTTGTTTTGTGTGCCTCTGGAAGCCTCCACCAACTGGATCCTGTAATGATTAGTCTAAAAATATCCCCATACGAATTCTCAACCCTGTTAAAGAAGTCTATTGTAAGATATAAGTAAAAGCGGCTTAGGCAAGCCAATCCTCCAGCTGAGATGATACTGCATCAGAGATATCCCTTCACTCATTTATTCACAGACTCACATTCTGTTCTTCGGCTTCTCTCCATGCAGACCACGTCCCCTGGTGTGAATTAGTAATGCTGTTTTCCTCACTTATTTCAGTGTAGAGATGCATTTGTGAATTGCTATAAGTCTCTTTCACCAGGACCTGTTTTACGATGAAAGTAATACTGTCAGTTTCCAGATTTATTTTAATGGCACTAATGTGGGCTGTATTGGCATGTGATTCCCACACTATGGATTTTAGGAAAGCTACAATTCTAATATAAAATGTAAAACTGAACCAGCAGTGTAAACTCTTTTATTATTATTATTATATATATATATATACACACACACAAAAGTAGAATAACCAGGTATCTTTACAACATAACTGAGAATACAGCAGATGTTAACTGGATCTAGGTTTTGTGGTAGTCAGAATCTGTCATTTAAATTGTGCACGTGTAGTTCCCATAGAAATGAAAGATTTAAAGCATGAAGAATTCAGAGTGCTAATTTCTAAACCATAGATATACTGTATGTGTCAGGGTTCTGTCACTTCGGTCTAGTGTAATTCATAGTTTTGTGACAGAGCCCTGACACTCGCGTCATGTCAGTGTTTTCATGTGAGCGTGCGGCTTCGAGTGTGCTTGAGCCGTGCGCTCTCGTCTGCGTGTACTGTTTCATGTTGGAGCGTGGT